TCTCATTTACACAATTGCAGACGGTGTCATGGAGGCCAGACGGTGGACCTTGAGCCGCACCGCCAAAGACTGGAGGCTTCAGGAGGCAGAGGAAGGGGTGGGATTCATGCAGAGGGAGCGGAGGCAGCGGAGGGGGGTGGGAGGTTGAGGGGGGCCCAGGGGAGGAGCTGTGAATGCCACAGTAAGTCGGAGCCCAGCAACGCGGCATTTCAGGGAGCTGCCTCAGAAGGGAGGCCAGGTCTCGAGGAGAAGGGAGCTGGGAGCTTCCTGCAGGCGTTCAACAGAGGGAGGGTCTGGGCCAGGGCAGGGGTGGGAAAGTGGACAGATCCGAACACACTGGCAGAACTGGGGGACTTTTAGAGGGAGGGCGCAAGAGGGAGAGGTCAAGAGGGCGCTGGGGTCCCCGCCCGGGCGTCCTGGGCGAGGCAGCCCAAGGAGAGCAGCTGCCCTATCGAGGCCCCGACACGTCAGGAGCACTTTGCTCCAGGTGGCTGCCAGAGGTGTCAGTAAAACAATTAAAAATAATTTGGAGGACAATTTGTGTCTCTGATCACAGTGACCTGTTTTGGGCTCCGTGGAAGCCCAGAGGCTCGGAGGTAATTAGGAAAGTTGTTGGGGCCAAAATGGCTTGTCACGCGGAAATCAGGAAGCTGTCAAGTTCTCGGAGACAGGGGGCCCCAACCTTGCTTCCTTCTCACCCTGTGTTGGTCTTGGATCGGACCTTGTCTTGAGGGCCTGGCTGTCTGGGGGGGTCTTCGCTGGTTCTGCTTCCCCGATGTAGAGGTTCGCACTTAAGAACGCATAGCATTCTTTCCACAGCCCAGAGACCCAAGGGCAGCAAGCCAGGCTCAGCCCCTGGGGCTCAGAGACGCAGGGCACAGCGGGGTCTGTGGCCACCTTGGTTGTCTGCTTTCCCGAAGACGGTGGCCTCTCCACTCAGCTCCCCAGGGGTCTGACTGGAAAGATAAGTGACTCCCTTGAGTTACATGGTGCAACCTTCCCAAGGGAGAGACACCCGACCCCAGGACGCGGGCGCTCAGAGGCCCGATCTCAGCATTCAGAAGGGCCCTGGCTGCCGGGACAGAGGGGCTCCGGCTCGGCCCTGGTGGGCGGCGAGCAGCCACCTCGCACCCCTTGAGGTAATGGCTGAGAGTCGTGCTTGAGAAGCTGCCGTGAAGCCCTCAGCCCAGGACAGGAGATATTTTTACCTGTCTGCCACCTATTTTTTTCTCTTTTTAGGAAGATGCACAGTTCAGTGGCTCAGTCCTGCCTCCCTCACGTGTGCTGTCTGAGCTGAACGGCGCTGCACGGTTGCTAGGTGACCGATGGCACAGGGCTGCCTGGGCCCTCCAGCCCCTCTGCATTGTGCTTTGACAGAGGTGTCCCTTTCAGAGAATGCTGTGGAACTGCACCTCAGGTGCTGCTCACGAAAGCCACCTCCCAGCCCACCCAGCTACTCCCGGGGGAGAATTCCAGTGCAGCCGGGCTGGCTGTCAGAGTGTCCCCACGCCACCCAGAGAGCTCTTAGCAGCAGAGGGTGGTGTGACAGACAGGCCCAAGGACCTGCAGCGTCTGGCGCCTGGGGCATGTCGGGCCTCGCTCTCACCTGCGTGCACGGGGCCCTCCCGGGTATACGCAGAGCTGAAGGGGCCTCGGGTCATCCCGGACGACCCACTTCACACACAGGGAAACCAGGACCCTGCGAGGACAGGGCCGCCGTGCCCGTTGGCGTGGTTGGTTGGTGGTGGGTCAGGCGCCGGCCTCCTGATGCCTAGATCATGGCTGGCTCCCCTCCTGGGTCCTTCGCTGACCCTGGTGCTTGTCCCAGGTCGTGCTTTGGGGTCGTGGGCTGGGGACACATTGGATCTCCGTGTGCTAGTCTGAAAGCTGACCTTCGCCAGCCCAGGAGCTCCAGGCGGAGGGTGGGGTGGGGAGGCAGGGTTGTTCCCAGTCGCTGCGGGTGCCACCTCCCCTTTCCAAATGCGGAGGGAGCACGGGGCGAGGAGACCCGGGTGCTGACGGGCGTGCGGCGTGAGCTGGGCCCGTCTTCCCTCCGCTCGGGGTGTACGGGATGCAGCAGCGAAGGAAGTAAGCCGAGTGTTTCCTCTTGTGGAATTTATACTTCTTGTAGAAGGGCCAGGCGCTAAGGAAAAAGACGCGTAAGGGCCAGTGGTGATGCTTTTGCTAGAGAGAGAAAGCGCACGGGCGGGCTGCGGGGGTTGCAGCTGGCAGGCTGCTATTGTATGGTCCGCAAAGGCGTCCCTGAGGAGGGGACATTTGAGCAGAGGCCCTCAGGAAATGAGTGACGGGGCGAATGAGGGAACAAACGCATAAGTTGGAATGAATGAATGAAGTGGGAGCACTCAAACCCGGGCCCGTCTGGCTGCAAAGCCCTTGTTCTTCGCTGCCACTGCCCTCTTCCTGTGCTCATCCCCGGGGGTCTGACCCGGTGGCTCTGGGCTGTTCGCAGGCTCCCTCTGGGCCTCCGTTTCCTCACGTCTAAAATGAGAATGCGTTTGGGTCTCTCAAGCTTTCACATTTTAAGCGTTGGACTCAGGGGTTTGTCACTTGAGTACATTTGCTGTGCACAGAAGGTTCTAGTCACAGCTGCGGCCCAGTGCAGCCCAGCCCGAGGCCTCAGTGTGCACGTTTAAGCCAGCACCTCGTGGCCCTGGGCCCCGCCCTGCAATGCAGGGTGCTCTGCACGTCGGTGATGGCAGGGACGCCTTGGGGAGAAGGAAGCAGCTCAATGTGAGCTGCTTCCTGTGATGCTGCTGTGGTACCGCTGGCCTTACCACAGTGTGCTAATTTTGTCCTTGAGTCCTCCTAGTTGAGAGTGATGCTGCCCCATCCCCCAGCCCTCGCTCATGTTGGTGACCAGAGCTGCCACTCAGTAGGCTATTTATGGGGTCAGCATCGAGATAAATTCTGCAGACTTGCGGAATCCCCCTTGCTTTTCTCCGGTTGTGGCAGGATGCGCAGTAAATCAAACCTAATGCATTGCAGGTTGCTCTGATCAGATCCTGCTGCAGGCAGAAAGCTGGAGACAGGCTCGGAGCTCCGGCACCCTGCCCGTGCAGCCTCCAGCGGGACCCCGACCCTCCTCCCCAGCTCCAGTGTTAATAGAAATGCTCTGGCAACTGTAGAAGAGGTGGGGAAGCTGGACGAGCAGCCATTGCCTGCCCCCGAGGTGCGCTCCTTTTCAGTGCCCTGGGGACAAGGACCTGCTGCTGCTGCGGAGGGGAGAAGTGGGGGGAGGGGTTGGGGGGCAGGGGAGGGGTTTATCCTGGAAGCCCAGCAAGGCCTCCCCAGTGCATAATGCCCTGGGGCACCGTTTGTTTGTAGCAGCCCTGGGACACTGAGGGCTGAAGGGCCCACAGACACACAGTCCCACGTTGGGGCACCTCCAGGACACAATGGGATGTTCAGCTCACCCACTGTGGAGTCCCAACAGAGAGCTGCAATTCTTCTAGGGAATTCTGGGGTCTTCTAAGCAGGCTGGCTCTGTCCCAGTCACTCCAAAGCCCAAGACCCTGACTATCTTTGGGTGGCAGAGGGTAGGCACTAAAGACTCACTGTCCCCCTTGGATGAAGAGGACAGGGAAGTGTCACCTGCTGATGTGGTCCAAGGCCTGGCCTGGGAGGGTTGGCTAACCCCACAGACCCGCGTGGACAGTTGTCCCCATCTGCCAGGCCCCGCAGCTTCATGAGCAGGATCCGGCTGGCCAGGTCCCCTTGGAGGTCGGTCTTTGCTGGAGTCTGCCAGGAGGTCTGGGCCGAGCCCAGCGGGCCGGGCAGCCGGGCACGCTTCTGCAGCGCAGCGCCCTGGCCCGTGCCGTTCAGGTGGCCCATCCGAGGAGAGCAGACAGGAGCCCGCTTCCAGAGGCAGCGCGTCCCTTAGCGAAATAATTACAGAGCTGGGTAATTTACATCCCTAGAAAGACGCAGGGCGGCTGCAGGCCAGGTGTATGTGTGTTTAATTTAAAATTCTCTGACCTCCCCCTAATGAGGAGGTGCTTTGAAATACAGCAGAATGCTGGATCCTTCAAAGGGCTCGCTTCCTGGGGGCTTTATTTCTTTAAGGGGGAGCATGAAAGATGGATGAGGAACAGCAGGGGAAGGTGCCGCCTCCCCCGCCCCGGTTGAGCAGACACTATCTGCTATAAAACTGTCGCTGAAGGATGGAGAACTGGCTCTTGGCTGCGGTGGCCCTCAGATAATGTCACTGGTGAGCGATGGCCCAGGATTTGTTGGCACTGAGCAAACACCTCCAGGGCTCTGGTGCCAGAATCCTTAGCTGAGCCCAGTCAGCGAGTGCTCCTGCCTGGGAAGCGAAGAGGCCACTGGGGCTGGCATCCGGGGGGGGGGCCTCGTGGTGAGATGGGCCCCTTCCCCCACTCCCATGTTAATATCCCTTTGGGTCACCTGGAGGTCCTGTAAAAATACAGAGAAAGACCGAGTAGGGCTGGAGCGAGGCTGACGCTCTGCATGTCCAACCAGCCCCTGCGATGCCGTGGGCCCATGGCTACGTTTTGAGCAGAAGGACCCTGCAGACGGCAGCCGCTGGCTTCCCTGAGTCCCGCCAGGTGGTGTGGGCTCATTAGGACAAGAGAGCTTTGCCTCAGCGCAAGCTGCTCAGCCCTGGGAGCTGACGGCGGTGGGCCCTCCGCTTGGTCGGTATGAGCCCTTGGATCTGCTTCGATGAGAGAGCGATGCTGCCGTGGACAACCCTGGGTTTGGGCTTGGTATCTGCTCTGGCCTCTTCTGCCTCATTAGGTTTGCCCTTCTAATGATGCTCGAATAAGGCCTGTGGGAAACTGAGTCTGCAGACCTTGGGCTCCTCAGGGGGCACCCCTGACGGGGGCGGGACGGCCAGCTCAGTGTTCATGCCACCGCCCGGCTCTGTGTGTGTGACAAGGCATTGCTTTGGTTGTGTCCACCTGAGCGGCTTGCCTCTCTGGTCCAGCTGGCTAACCCTCTCCCGCCCGCTGGCTTCCCAGGTCCCGGATGAGAAGGAGCTGACGGCAGCCGAGTCCCACCTTCTCTGCGTGCCGGGGAGCAGGGCCGCCTGGCCCCAGTGGCACCGATGCCGAAGAACAGCAAGGTGACTCAGCGCGAGCACAGCAGCGAGCATGTCACGGAGTCGGTGGCCGACCTGCTGGCTCTCGAGGAGCCTGTGGACTACAAGCAGAGCGTCCTGAATGTGGCGGGCGGGGCAGGTGGCAAGCAGGCGGCGGCGGAGGAGGAGCTGGACGCCGAGGACCGGCCCGCCTGGAACAGCAAGCTGCAGTACATCCTGGCACAGATCGGCTTCTCCGTGGGCCTCGGCAACATCTGGAGGTTCCCCTACCTGTGCCAGAAGAACGGAGGCGGTAAGAGGCGGGCCTGCTGGCCGCGGGGCGCCCTGCACATCGGCTGGGCTGAGGGGTGAAAGGGGGCACCCCCTGTTCTAGGCAGAAGTGGAGCCTTTACAGGTCAGAGCTCAGGGTTACGGAGTGAGACTCCCCAGGAATTGCTAAGCGCTAAGACCTATTGAGCTCCTGGCCAGCCTGGGTTCAAGTCCCTGCCCAGCCAGTCAGCTCTGTGCGTGCAGCTGCTTCTCTCTGTGCCTCTCTGCTCATCATCTGTAAAGTGGGAATGATAGTAATTCCTGCCTCACAGGATAGGTGGGAGGGCGGAAAAAGCTTTGCATGTAGAATGCTTAACAGGGGATCTTACACGTTGTAAAGAGCAACTTCTGGCCACTGTTATTAAATGCTCGCTGGGTGCCAGGCACTGTCCTAGGTACTTCCTAGATATTAGGCTGATGTTGATGACGCCGCCTGGGTTTGAGCATCTTGAAACAATCGAAGCGCCGGTTTCATATGGTTCAACCATCGAATCCTCCCAACAACCCCATGGGGTTACCATTCCCATGTCAGAGACTGCAAAGCTAAGGCATGGAGAGGTTAGATAACTTGCTCAAGGTCACACAGCTGGTGGTAAAGTCAGGATTCAAACCTGGACAGTGTGGCCCCAGGCCTGAGCATGCGATCACCGCCTACTGCCTCCCAAGTAGGAGGGGCCCTCATGCTGCCCCCTGAGTTTGAGTTCCCCTAGAGGGTCTCACTCCAGTATCGTGCCCCTGCGGCTCCCCAGAGTCTGGCTCTCCCCGCGACGCAGTGTGCAGCTCAGCTGGCCGAGACCAAGGCGGTCTTTCAGGCCCCAGGAGTAACCTCAGGGTTAGCCGGAAACGAGACCCAAAGTGTAGGCCGAGGCATAGACGGTCAGCGATCCAGGAGACCTCTGCGGGCGGTCCCTACGGCCATCACCTCCTCAATTTCCTAACCATGAGCTGTGCTCCTGCTGGACAGATGGATGGCCTGAGGCCCCTGAAGGCCCCAGAACATCAAACGAACTCCCGCTCTGTCCCTAAGTCGTGTCTCCTGAGGTAGAAGAGGGTGCATTTCCAAATGATTTCAACAAAGGTTGATATGAAAAGTACCTCTGCTTACCCAGAAATTCTGCCCACGCAGCCTACATCCCCCGAGCCCTGCGGTGCGCGAGGTCTCGGCCTGGTGCGGAAACCAATACTCAGGGCAGCGTCCCGGGGTCTGGCTGAGGCGGACAGCCTGAGTGAAGGGTGGCGAGTGACAGGTGGCCGGTCTTTGCTGGGGCCCCTGTTGGACAGCACTCCCCTGAAGGCTTTCCCTGGTTCTCTGGGGAGAGGAGAGGCACATCCAGAGGGAGTGCGAGCCTCTTTCTCCACCACCCTGAAACCCGTCTCCCTGAACGTTCAGCCTTGCCCACCCAAGGACGCGGGGACGAAATATGGAGCCAGCATGGCTGTGTCCCTTTGCTGACCTGTAGATCGCTGCTCGCCTCTTCCGTTTCCCCGGGCCCAAGACCAAGAGACAGAACTAGGTGCAGAGAGGGATTGTCCGTCCTTTTAGTGTCACAGTGGGGCTTCTTGTTTGGGACGAGTTGAATTTGCGTGTGCTTGTGACTGTGCACGTGTGTGCTAGTGAGCAGGAGGCTGCTGTGTGAGGCTCGGGGGGCTGCCTCCCCTGGAAACCCTCCCCAGCTGGCTCCGTGGGACCCCTCAGCATGTGCGTGCTCAGGTGGTTCTGTGTGAGTGTGTGTGCGCACGCGCACGCGGTGTGTACATGTGCTGCCGTTGCTCGTGTGAGCCTGGAGGTCCTGCCAGCCTGCCCAGGATGGCACCTGAGCCCTCTGCTGTCCCGGTGTTCCCTCACCGCATAGGCCTGGTGCTGACACCTAACAGTCGCCAAGTGCCAGGTCTTGGGCCTGGACGATGCCGATCGCCTGGGGCGGTTGGCAGATCGAGCACGTATTGGGGAGCATGCGAAGTGTCCTGTCGTGGGGGGCAGAGCGGTGTGGCGGGAGGGTCTTCTGGAGCTCGCAGGGCGTGGTCTGGGGCACCCACCAGGGCACTGGTGACTGGAGCTGGTCTGACGCTGTTTGACGGACAGGCCGGGCTGTGCCAGCGGCATCGCTAACAGGCCTGGGCCATTGGCACAGCTCTCAACGGGATCGCTCGCCTGTGTCCAGACGAGGCTTTAATTCTCCTGCTAAATGCCCTGTCACTGGAAAACGAGATTGTGTGCAGCAAGGCCTGGGACAGCGAGCTTAATTTATCTTTTGGAATCTTGAGCAATATCCATTCTATCCTTTATGATCCTCCCAGCTATACTTTCCTAAATTGCTCATTTCTGTCCCGTTCCTCCCAGTTAGCTGTGCATTAATTAATGGCCATGCTGGTCAGACCCCTCTCCCTGGAGAGCTTCCAAGCCCCACCCCCCTGGAGCTGTGTTGGCATCTGGCAAAGACGCAGGGAAGGCTGTGCCTGGGATCTGTGCTGCCAGGGGGCCCACTCCATCTGGGCTGCTGCTCTGTGGGTGGGAGGGGCTGTGAACAGGTGTCCACAGCATAGGTCACGAGGTGAGTGTGTCTGTCGGCCTGTGACTCGACATGTGGGTTCCAGGAGGCAGGACAGTGTCTGTCTGCCTGCCTGCCTGTCTGTCTTTGGGTCTGGCCTTGTAAGCGGGAGGCGTTGATGTATGCCTGGATCCTCCCTTAGAGCCTCAGGTCAGGGGAGTCAAGGGGAAGAAGGAGGGTCTAGGTGGCCAGTGCATGGTAGGTCACCTGTGTGAGCCAGACCATTCCTGGGGAGCCCGAGGGCCAGTGACAGTTCGAGATGGTCAGAGAGGGGGCAGGACCGCAGGACCTGGCTGCCTGCCCTCCCTCCCCTGGGCGCTGTGCTCCAGCCACCCCGTGATGCCCCTCCCTCCTCCGCAGGTGCCTACCTGGTGCCCTACCTGGTACTGCTGATCATCATCGGGATCCCGCTCTTCTTCCTGGAGCTGGCGGTGGGCCAGAGGATCCGCCGGGGCAGCATCGGCGTGTGGCACTACGTGTGTCCCCGCCTGGGGGGCATCGGCTTCTCCAGCTGCATTGTGAGTCGGGGGCTGGCCCCAGGCACCTACTGGGAAGCAGAGGGGTCGCTCTTGGGTACAGGGTTTCCAGATCAGAGTCCTAGGCCAGGTCGAGGGTGGGGAAGGAGACCCTCCATGTGCGAGCCACTTCCAGCTGGCGTCTCAGGCAGGACCGTGTGATTTCCTCAGCTGAAAGTCGGCCCCACCGCCTGAAGCAGGATCGAATTGGGGGTTGTTACTGAGGAGGAAAGGCGGGGACATCTCTGCTGGGCTTCTCTGGGACACGTAGACCACTCTGGGTACCCCTCTCTGCTCACCAGCCTATCAGTCCCCCAACGAGGGAGGCCCTTTTTCTTTCCTGGGTCAAAGAGCATTTTAATTGGGCAAGTGTGGGGCACGGGGTCTCCTTGCCTATTTGCTGTGCTCACGAGCAGAGCTGGAGGGCGACTCAGACAAGACCAACCCAGGGGGGTGGGGCTTTGGAACAGCCTGGGCAGGGAGACCCCTGGGTGGGAATGTTGGGAGGGCTCTCAGCTTATCCACAGGGCCTGGCATCGCGCTCTATGGGAGGACCCCCAGCCTCCCTTAGGGACAAAGCCTGCAGGTGCCCATGCTCACACCTGGGCTAAAAACTGGAACCTGCTTCTGGAAGGGAGCGAGGATTCTGTCAGGCATGACAGCAGGGCCAGCCGACTGCGGCTCCGGCGGAGACCGAGGAGGGTCTGTGCAGCTGCCCCTCGTGCCAGCGTCGCCTGTGCACAGGCGGGCACGGCTGGAAATGGCCCCTGCTGGGGCTGGCCCTGAGTGTGAGCGGGGTCCCCGTTGGACTGAAAGCGCCCAGTAGAGGTAGTGAGTGTCCCTCGCCCTTTATACCCCTGATAAGGGTGCTGTAGGGTGTCTGGCCCCACATGCCAGGGCGCAGGGGAAATCGAGAAAGCAAGGGGCCCTTAGCTGTCACATCGACCAGCAGCGTCACCGATGCGTAAGGTAGCCGGGCCCCAGAAGACAGGAGGGGCTTGTCAGCATCCATGCAGCAGATCCGTGCGTGAGAAAGCATTGCTTTCAAAAAGTGCCGTGGACCCTCAGTCAGTTCTACCCAAGTTGGCTACCATTGGGTGGAAATGAGGACTGACATCTGTCGAGAGACGAGCTGCAGATGTACCAAGGGAAAGTAGTGTCCTGGGACAAGAGTGGACACAGGAAACCAATAAGAAGCATCCAGAAAATCTCCAAACGCGCCGCAGTCTGGGCATAGTTGACTACCGAGGCTAAAGACATGCATGTCCCCATGTCCCGGGGCAGCTCTGGATCTGGGATACTGAGGCATCAGGAAAGGATGGGGAAGTGCCCCTAAGCATCTTAGAAGAATTTCAAACTGGAAAAGATTAACATGTTAAGAGTTATTGCTTAAAGGAGCGAACTTTAATATTGGAAACATTTCTCTACGGATTCTTTGAATACCAGGGGAAGGGGGGGTGGTTAGGAGGGGCCTTCGGCTGCCCCGTCTCATCCCTCCTCCTCCCCCAAGGCTGTGCCGTGTGCTGTGTGCAGTCCACCCGGGGCTGAGCCTTGGGTGGGCGGGGGAAGCGTGCGGGAGGGCCCTGCCGCCCCCGTGACCCCTGCCACGGCCCTCGTCCTCAGGTCTGCCTCTTTGTTGGGCTGTATTATAACGTGATTATCGGGTGGAGCATCTTCTACTTCTTCAAGTCCTTCCAGTACCCACTGCCCTGGAGTGAATGTCCTGTCGTCAGGAATGGGACCGTGGCAGGCAAGTACGGGGCCCCCTGAGTGTGACCAGCTGGGGACCCCAGCCAGCCCTGTCCCGGGAAGGAGTGAAGTGAGCCTGAGAGGCTTAGGCACAGATTTGGGGTCACACTGACTCCCTGTGCCAGCTCGAGTGATGCACCTGCCCTCCCTGATGCCGCTGCCCCTTCGGATGCCTGTTCCCCAGCCTGCCCCTCAGAGCCCGACGGGGAGCAAATGAACTAGTGAACTAGTGAGTGCCCGTGAAACTCTGGAAACGGTGACTTTCCTCTAGTTGTTACCAACTGCTCTGCGCTCCTCAAACACCGTCCTCTTGGGGGAAAAAGCCGTAATTTGCATACCGTTTCTATAAAAGGCTAGTGATTTATCCCACTTCACAGGAGGGTAAACTGAGGCCCAGAAACAACATTCCCATGGTCACCCCACTGATTTAACCAAGGAATCCGGGTCTTCAGCTCCCAGTTCAGGACCTTCCCGAGGAACTAGGGGCCAGCTCTGCCTCACCCTTCCTGCCCTGCGCGTGGGCGGGGGTGGGAGCCCGGGAGCCCCGAGGGTCTGCTGGGTCCTGGCTAACCCAGAGCAGGACCAGCGCCTCGCTGCTGCGCCCTTGCCCGCTGCTGCCCTGGGCGGGGGTCCAGCCGGGGAGGCGGCCCGCTGCCCGCCACTGAGGCCGTGGCTGCCGTTGCAGTGGTGGAGGCCGAGTGCGAGAAGAGCTCCGCCACTACCTACTTCTGGTACCGAGAGGCCCTGGACATCTCCAACTCCATCTCGGAGAGCGGCGGCCTCAACTGGAAGATGACCCTGTGCCTGCTCGTGGCCTGGACCATTGTGGGCCTGGCTGTCGTCAAGGGCATCCAGTCCTCGGGGAAGGTGAGTCGGGAGGCGGCACTCAGACCCATGCTGTCTGAGGGAAGGAGGGGGGCAGGGGCTGAGAAAGCTGGGTCGCCCCGTGCAGGGTCCTGTGGGTGGACCTGGCCTCGGGATGACTCAGGCTGAGGACACAGGCCCCCCGAGGGGGCGATGGAGTGTCACTGCTGCAGTATTGCAGCCCCTCTGAGGGGCTCCACGTGTCTCTGCGGGTGCAGACCAGCCAAGCCTCCCCACTGCGGTGGGGAGGAAGCCCACTGCAGTTCAGATATCCTTCAAATGAGGGCTCGTTCTTCTGCGTGTCAGTTTATGGACTGCTGGGGCTGGAATGGATCCTGTCGCCCAGTCTGCTCGTTTTTCAGATGAGGAAACCGAGGCTGAGAGCAGGGAAAGCCGCTTGCCTGAGATCATGCAGCCAGTCTGTCCATCCAGGGTTGGAATTGGAGCCCTGGCTGCCTGTCTGGGACCCCAGCCTCTTCACCAGACTTGATGAGCAAGGAAGCTCAGCCTTGGAGCACAAGCGTGGTCTCAGCCACCTCCCCTTCCCTCTCTAAAGGCAGAAATTGTAGCTGACATGCTGTGGCCCTTATCAGTGTAGAAATGCACTTGATCCACAGCGACCTGAGTTAGGAGTCATCGTGCCCATTTCATGGAGAAGAGAGGAAGGCATGCTGACTGCTAAGTAAACAGTCCAAGGTCACGTGCTTCGAAAGTGGTGGAGCCAGGATGAAAACACGGGCGGTCTAGCTGCGGACATGCATGCCCCAACCTTCACCCCGCCCTGCCCAAGCAGCCCCCGGATCTATTTCTGCGCCGCAGACACCGGGTGCAGGCCACCCTGCCTGAGGCTCTGTGCCGGGCAATGAGGATGCGGAAAGGTGCAAGAAACACACATGCTAAGAAATAGCGCACGATTTATAATCACAAGAGGCAGGACCTCCGACCTCCCTCTGATGTTTTTGCTTGGGAGCCCTGGCTGTAACCTCCTGGCTGCCTTCTGTCAAAGGACAGGGGAGATCCTCAGGGGGCCCACTGGAGCCAGCGAGAGAGAAACAGGCTTGAGATGAGAAAAAAACGAGGCAGGGAGGGCAAAGGGTTCCTCACCCCCTTGGCGGCCCTCGGGCCCAGCCCTGCCAGCCCTTGGAAGGAGAAAGGCAGCCTGGCCCAGCCCCACTGACTCTAGCTCTTCTGTGCTCCTGTTTCTGCCTTGGCTCCAGGCCAGACATGCGGCGGGGTTGGCCCCGTGCCCGGGGGTCCCAGGGCTCTGCCTTCTGCAGCTATCAGAGGAGGCCCCTGGGCCCCAGCTGTGAGCAGGGAGGGGGTGGTGGCTGAGGAGGGGCCCTGCCCCATGGTGGGTCCCTGTCTTCTCTGCAGGTGATGTATTTCAGCTCCCTCTTCCCCTACGTGGTGCTGGCCTGTTTCCTGGTCCGGGGGCTGCTGCTGCGAGGTGCCATCGACGGCATTCTGCACATGTTCACTCCCAAGGTAGGCGACTGGGGGCACCCCCGGGCCTGCGGCCCTCAGCCTCAGGCAGTGCCACACCCACGGAGGAGGACCTGCTCTGGGTGTCCGGCCCTGGCGAGAGGCACTGCGGGCGGAGCCTCGGCCCTGCCCTTGGGGCTCCAAGGAGAAGGACATCACATTAATTTGGGTGAAATCAGAAGAAGCTTCAGGGAGGAGGTGACCTGTGAACTGAGCCTCCGGGAGCAGATAGGATTTCAGTGAGTGGCGGGCATTGCCGTCAAAGGAATCACCTGAGCGAGAGGGTGGGCGAGCCCTGAGTGTGCCTGCGGCAATGGCGGGAAGGCCGGTGCGGCGGGGGGCGCGGGGCAGGAGTGGTGGGGGCTGCAGGGGTGCGCCGGCGGCCGCGGAAACCCAGACGACGCGTGAGAGAGGAGGAAGCTGCCGGGGGCATCCCAGCCCGCACCCAGACCGGGGGAACAGTGTCACTGTGAAGGTAACCGCTCACAGGGATAGCGGTTCTACCCTCGCCGCACCCCCCTTCCTCTCATTGCGTCCTCGCTGGAAGTCTGTCTCACAGGCCTGCAGTGCAGGCTCCCGGAAGGTGGTCGCCCGGGTTTCTTCCCGGAGGTCTCTGCCCGCCGTGTGTCCCTGCCAGTCTGTTCCCCTTCAGACCACTGGGCACGGCTGGCAGGAGCCAGTCCATGGAGAGAAGAGCATTTCAGCGCACGCTGGGAGGTCCTTGAAGGTGCCGCACGCCATGCCGGTGGTAACCGCGCTGGGCAGGCAGGGCGGTCCGCCTCCAGATGCCGGCTGGCACATCAGCGGCCAGCAGGGCCTGGTGAGACTCCAGTCCTCGGCACGGGCAGAGCCCCGCCAGCTTGAGGCTCTCCACACTGGCCCTCAGCAGTGCTGTGTCACACGTGTCCACACGCGCACATGCACATATTCTCACGCCTACACAGAAAGTGCGTACCGATGACACAGGGTGAGGAGTGACCGTGCTCTCCTGGCTCCCCCCGGGGGGTGGCGATGTGCAGGACACGCTTGGCTCCCTGTGCACCAGACGCCGGAAACCGGCCCTCGGCTTGCGGGGAAGCCCTTCTGAGGTTTCTGTGGGAACAGCCATGGAGGTCCACTGCATAGTGAGTCTCCAGAGGCATGCGTGTGACTCGGGGGCCATGTGGCTGGCACAGGGTGGCTGTGAACGTGTGGTATCTGACAAAGGAAGAAAATGCAAACCTGGTTTCTTTGAGGGATACCGGCCATGAGAAGAAAGCAACTGTTTTACGAATTACTTCAACTGTATTACTAGAATCCGTCTAAGGCGTACACTTGAGTGTTTCCGTTATACTTGACTGAACTTTACGAGGAAATGATGCACTTTGGAGATGGTCGTAAATGCGGCCGTGCACACAGGCCTCCAGATGGGCCCCCTGCTGGTGTTAGCAAAGCCTGGTGTTTAATTCCAGGAGCAAGGGAAGCAGAGTCGTGACTTCGGCTGCCAGTCCCCGCTCACACAACACTGCTCCTTGTTTGAATCAGACACCCTTGAAGACATCCTTTTATTTATGAAATATCTCAGGCATATAAACCACATACACACCAATATAATAAACATTCTTAAGGAATAAAATGTTACAGATGCCACATCTTTATAGCTTGCCCTGATCCCTTCTCCCCTAAAGATGACCACGATCCTGAATTTGGGATTCATCCTGGTAATATATTTAAAAATTTTTTTGTAATACACGTATGTGTAACTACAAACAGCATAAAGCCATTTGTGCATACTTATACTTTCCAACTTTACATAAATAGCATCCATAGTATGCAACCTCCGGTGACTTGCTTTTATTTTTGCCCAACACGGACTGTTTTATGAGATTTAGCTATGCAGATATATGTAGCTCTAGTGTATCCATTGTTGCTGCTAGGCAGTATTCCACTGCAGCACCAAACTAAAACTGATTTTTTTCATTCTGAAGACTTTTCCAGTGTTCACCATGGCTAACAATGTTATGATAAACATCATTACACAGGTCTTCATGTGCACAAATCTCTCCACGGTATATGTGTTGAGGAGTGGAATCGCTATCCCAAAGGGTATGCATAGCTTCGGCTTTACAAGATGTGGGCCAAATGGCTCTCCAAAGTGGTTGCCTCTGTTGACACCCCCACCAGGTGTACATGAGAATCCCAGTTGCTCCACTTTTGTTAGTTCAGTTTTTGTCAGTCAGACGGGTGCACGTGGTTGATGTGCACTGGGAACAGGAAGGCCACGCCTTTTCACAACCGTCTCCTGGAGGTTCAGGAGGCCATGTAATTCCACCTTCACATCAGCAGAGGCCAGAATCTTTAGGAGGTGAAGGATAAGGAAATAAATCCAGAAGGCCCTAGAGGAGCCAGCCACCAAGAGCCAGCAGGTGTGGCCCCTGGCCCACTTAGCTCTTGTGACTTTCTGTCTGGAGGGGACCTGTGGGGCCCACCTGGAGGCCCTGCCCACTGAGCAGTTCTGCGGGGCAGCACCCGCCCTTGACCCTGGAGGGATGTGTTCATCAGGGGAAGGGGGCCTGCGGGCCTCTGAGGACATCCTCCGTCAAGGGTCGCGGCCTGTGCCACTGTGTGAGGCGGGCGAGGCCAGCAGTGACCGCTGGGGTGAGGTTCCCGTGGACAGATCCTTCCAGGTCACCTGCAGAAAGGCCCACTCCCAGAAGCAGCTGCCTGGCCCCCCAGACGCGGCAGACGACTTCCGCAGAGCTGCACCTGTCCCGGGACAGGCGAGCGAGCTGGGAGGACCCCGGGGCCGTTACCAGCTCTCGCCCTGGAATGGTGCCACAGAGCGCCAGGGTGGGGGTCGCACACAGCTGCCCAGGCTGTGCACTGCCCGTTCACACTGGCTACAATGCAAACGACAGGGGTCGAGCCTTTGGGCAGCCACGGCAGAGGCCACAGAAATTTGTGGCCAGGGCATCGCAGCGCCCTGGGGGAAGCGTTGGCTCTCCATGGATGTGCTGTGTGCCTGGACCAGAGGTGCCTCCTCCCGTAGAGTCTTCCAACAGCAGAGGTAGTCCAAGACGTAGGACCTGGACTTTCAGTCCACGACTCCAAGCAGTTACTGAGTATGACAGATGCCATGTGGTCAGGATACCATGATGACCAGTAGCATTTTTGATGTGACATCAACTCATGTTAATGGCTAATGAACTTCTTTTTTTTTTTTTTTTTTTAAGATTTTATTTATTTATTTATTTTTAGAGAGGAAGGGAGGGAGAAAGAGAGGACGAGAAACATCAATGTGTGGTTGCCTCTCGTGCGTCCTCTGCTGGGGGCCTGGCCCGCAACCCAGGCATGTGCCCTGATTGGGAATCAAACCAGCAACCCTTTGGTTCACTGGCCGGAGCTCAATGCACTGAGCCACACCCGCCAGGGCGCTAATGAGCTTCTTGAATTCCGCAAGCCACTTCCCTCCTGATTACTTTTTTCCCATCCTGGTGAAAGACCAAGTCAGTGTGGGGTACCACGCCATTTAATCATATGATGTGCTCAACATAATGTGGTGGGTGGTGGTATATTTTTTAACCCTCAAAAATCTGAGAGAATGTTCATCAAAATTTTAAGTGTTCATGCCCTTCGGCCCAGCGATTCCACTTCCAGGTATTTGTCCTGCAGACGCACCTAACCCACAAGCACAATGATCTGTGCATGATATTGGCCATCACACGTTTTGTTTTAGCAGCAAAAGACTGAAAACAGCCCAGGTGGCTATCGTTCATTTATCCCCTCACTCCGCAAAGGGTCACTGGACGCCTGTTACGTTCTGGGCACTGTTGTGGGCCCTGGGATCCGGCGTTGAGCCCGGCAGACGGACTTCCTGGCCCCTTGGAACTTGGGTTTTAGTGGTGGAGACAGACAATATCAGATAAAGGAGATGGTGGATGATGTTGGGAAGGAGAAAAATAAAGCAGAGGAAGAAAGGTTGGGGGAAGGTGCTGCAGACAGCATGCTCAGGGAGGCCTTGCTGAGAGGGCGACGTTTGCGTGGAGACCGGAGGAGGTGAGGGAGCAGGCTGTGCGGCTGTTTGGAGGTAGCACATTTCATTGCAAACAGGGAGAACAAACGAAAGGCCTTGAGCTGGGATGTGTCTGGTGTGTTCCGCATGGAACGGGAGAGGAGAGAAGCCAGGCATGTAGTCACAGGGCAGCGGGAGGCAGATCTTGGGGGTCCTGCAGGCTGGGTGAGGACCTTGGAGTTTATTCTGGGTAAAATGGAAGCCATTGGAGCCATCTAAGTAGAGGAGCGTCATGATGTGGCTTCATCTTCGAAATTGCTCTGGTTGCCATGGAGAATCTGAGGGGTCAAGGGCGGAACAGGGAGACCTGCCAGAAGGCTGCCTCCAGGCAAATTCATCCCGGTGGGAGCGTTCTTTCCGGGCGAGAGGGGCCTGTGGTTGTAGCCCAGGTGTGGCAATGATATGATGAGAAGTGGTCAGGGGGCGGGAACTGAGGAAGTAGAGTCAACTGGATTTGCTGTCGGATTGGATGTGAGGTGTAAGAGAAAGAAGGGGGTCAAGGATGACGCCAAGGCCTCTTGCCTGAGCCTCCAGGAGGGTGGAGTTGGCATTGACGGAGACGCGGGAGGGCGGTGGGGGGAGCAGGTTGGGTGGGGAAGGCCAAGAACACTGTTTTGGACGTGGCAGGTCGAAAACGTCTAATAGACATCCGGGTGGAGATGCTGAGGGGGTGGTTAGGAAGGTGAGTGTGGAGGTTGGTGGAAGTGTAAATTTGGGAGTCCAGCAAGAATTTAAAGTCATGGACTAGTTACAGCCACTCTGTGAGTGAAAGAGGACAGAGAGGAGGTCTGAACACTGAGCACAGGGTCCCCGGGTTTAGAGGTTGGGGGAGAGATAGCCAGTGAGGAAGGAGGAGGACAAGGAGGAGAAGCTGTCCACGCCAGAGACAAAGAGGCGAAGGTGCGTTGGGAAGGAGGGCCAGCCGCGCCCAAAGCTGCGGAGAGATCAGGTA